TAATGGCAATTGCTTGGCTTTGAAGAAGCTCTTTGCCACATCAGTAAAGCAAGGTTATTTTCCCCCAGATAGCAACTGCCTCCTATATGGAAGCAGGTCTAATGTGTCTAACTACAGCTCTAAAATGGCATAATTAGAACTATTGCTTCACAAAACTTCAAACTGCCATAATAACTTAATATCAGTGCAATCAAGGTTTATGTGGCTTTTTCTGCAGGCCTACTTCTCCAAGCAGGAGACTCCTACTTGCACTTTGTGCATGCATGTGCTCCTCAGTCGTTTAGTAAATAGCAACTGATCTAACACTGCCTATTAACAAAATTAAACTCAGTTTTGTGCCCCTGACATAACAGGTAAATTGTGGATCATAGAGCCTGACGAGCAGAGATGGGGGCCATGGGGTTGGCAGGTTAAGAGGGATGACATGGAGGAAGATGCAGGGATGGGAGAAGCGGGAAGAGGGGCAGGAGGGAGCCGGTGTCCCTGGAGAGCAGGGTCCTGCTTCCCGGCCGTCTTGGACGTACGCACACCTGTGCAACACCACGACCCCAGCTTCAAACTGGGAGGTATCGGTGTTCGCTGGGAGCAACCCGGGTGCGAACAGTCCCTTTAAAGCTGCCATACATTAAATTCAAGATGGCTGCCCAGTCCTCGGAGCTGGGGGAGAATGACTCTTTAAATGCACATGCAGCCTGACTCGGCGCGGACATTCAGAGCGAATCTCTTCTTGCATATAATAAGATACATATATACATATGTGGAAGAGAGCGTTCTGCATCTGGGCAATAGAGGGATGGAGAAAATGTCCTAAAAAAAAAAAAGTGAAGCTGGGACCTGAACTGGGTGGATGTTGTGGATGCCTGGGCAGATGGGCGGCTCTTGAAGGCCAAGGATCCAAGTGGGGTCTGGGAGGGAAGATCAAATCTAAGAACAGGTCTGATGAAGGGCCGGTGCACAAGGGCTCACAGGGGAAAGATCCTGAGGGAGGATCTGAGGGAATGGGAGGGAATCACCCCGTGACCTCCTGAAGTTATGGTCTGTGCTCACTCTAAAGGCGGCAGCTCAAATGATGACTTAAGAGGATGTCCCCATGATGCCACATGATGGGATTTCCCATGTAGTTTTGTTTTCACTTTTAAAGTAGTATATTACAGGATTGAAACAGTGGGGAAAATACAAAATTAAGCTTCAAAGTTAGGAAATGCCAGAATTGAGTTTCTCTTCACCACTTCTATTCGCCTGCTTCCTCCTTTTCATGCCTTCTGTATATACTTCATGATGCAATCTTAACATTAATTTAGTTATTTTGGGTCCCTCCTTTCTATAAGACAAGAGAGTACATTTAGAAATCGTATTTGCTACAGGTCAAACTGGTGTTTCACAGATTACCTTAACTGGGTATTTCCTAAATTCTGAGCACTTAGTTTTCCAAAAATAATACCATTCTTTTGCTGTATATTTTCCGGGTGTACAAGTGTGCAACATAATATAGAAAGAAATAATAACCCAGAGTAGTGAAGAAATGACTTCCCTTCCTCTTTATAATAATTTGATGGAAAGCAGGCAATTTTCACAAGTTAATTATGCTCATGTTAACTGTGCTGTAGAATATTGTATCTTCTTTGGTAATGCAAAGAGATTTTATCTGTTGATTTGTTTAACTGATCAAATTAGCTTTAATTCAGCTACCCAAGGTGGACTGCATCATGTGCACTCTGAGTATGAGCAATTGTCAGGGTATCTGGTGTTTGTGTATTGGAATTTTTATTCAATCAGTATCTAAAGAAAAGAGTTATTTAGATGATAACCATCCAGTTTTCAGTTAAACCCCTCAAAAAAAGATTTTGATAATGTCACTCACAAAGATTCCTAGGGAGTTTAGTATTCTGTGATAATAAGACATTTTACTGAACAAAAGCGATTTGGAAAAAAAAAATAATCTGAAATCATGCTCATGTTTTGTCTCCTACCAGAATGTCTGGAGGAAACCTTTCTTTTTAATGTACTGTAAGGATGGGTGAGCAGAGGCAGAGCATGTTTGGCAAGTTCAGGACTGCAGCAGGCTTAAAGCTGAGTAGGAGCCACACAAAGTGTGTATATTTACATATACACAGAGCTATTGTGTAGATTATTTTGTTTTGTTTTGCCTTTTTTAATGAAGAGTTGACACAGTGACAGCACTGTTGATAGAAAGACTTACTGCCTAGAGAGCTGTCAGTCAAATACCTATGGCTTTCTGGACAAAAAATGCTCCATGAGACAAGGCTACAAACCAGTCCCAGGCTCACGTATTCTCTTTCTTGCTCTTTATCTTCAGTATAGTTATTATTCTGATGTGCTGTCAAGATTGTTACTGCAGACCACTAAAATTGGGAATACTAAAGAGCTTGACTTTTTATGCCTTGCTCAGATTTATTCTTATTCAGGATCAATTTGTTCTTATTCAAATAATGTGTTCAGTTTAAGTGCTTGTTTTAAATGTTGCTGCTAGGTCAAGTAGGACTTTGGCTCAAGCATCTGTTTTGCACGTACTTCATTATTTAATCTGGAGATCTAGAAATAATATATATTTGTATATTCAGGAAAGATTTTGATTCATTTTTAGGTGACCAGCCCAGATTTCATAATGTTTTTGAACCAGTAATTACTTTAAGAGCTATCCTATTACCAAGGAAAGGATGCACTATGATTAATTCTTTCTGTATTTCTGCAAATGTTGCTTCCTGAGGCAACTGAAATTAAAGTGTTTTTTTTTTTTTTTTTTTCAAGGAGAGCAATACAGGATTTCCCAGACGTGCCAAGGAAGCTTCTATGAAAGGCTAGAACGAGAAGTTCTCGTGCATACAGCAGCAGACTCATTGCTATCTACAGCCAACCTTCCCCAACACCTACAGGGGAGCTGGGAAGAGTAACCTTCAATCTCTCTGTCCTAGTCTTTGGTGGCAATGATGGGGTGCTTGTTTCTCAACAGTTTTTTTGGGAACATCGCCGCACAGTGTTAGTGCCACTCAGCATCTCTGGTGTCACAGGGTTCTGGGAGAAATCCCTGTCACACTGTTCTCCTTTTCCCCGCCATTCTCCTTTTCCCCATGGAATTAAGTAGTTTGGTGCTGGTTTCTTGCTTTTGCAATGGGAAAAGCTCTACAGGGGAAAGCATGAAGACAGGGTCCTCTTCAGCACTGCACTATGAGAGAGTGGTTTGCTCTGTTCCTGGATACTGTTCTGCGTAGACAGAAGTGCAACATGAGCACCCATTTATTTCTAGCTACCTGCTGGGCTTAATCATCCCTGGAGCTATAAAACATTCTCTTAGCATCTATCTAATCAACAGCTCTGTCATTTATGATGATATTTTACCACTTCAATTCAAAACTGGATTTATTCATTAGTATTAGGCTTAAAACAAATTATCAACGATAGCCAATACACTCTAAATGCAACCCTATGATATTTACTTATATCCTTATATATACTTATATATACTTATAAGGCTTCTTAGAAAACAATACTCCAATCCTTTAAATACTTGGGCCTTCATATGGATTTTCTAAAGCAGTGACATCAGGAATCTTTGGAACTCAAAAGCGTCACACAATTCATTATCTACCTCGTTACTGGAAAATCCTGTATTTGATAAGAAAGAAAAAAATCTTTTATATTCTGAAATTGTAACACTGTTCTGTAAAAATCCCCCCCAAAATGTTATATAGGTTTCTCTTAACTGACTTTAAAGTTTTGCCTGCTCTACATATTCAAGTATTCCACTGGCTTTCCTAAATGTCAAGGAGAAACATGCCATCCGCCCACGTTGCCATCTTCACTCAGCTGCGATGCGACCACCACCAGAAGACAGGCTATGGCCCTGCCACGGCGCGCACGGCCCGTTTGTCCTCACGCCTGGAAAGGAAGAACCCAATGGGATGTAATAAGGCAGTTCCAAACCGGGGTGGTGGCGGGGAGAAGCTGTAATTCTGTGATTTCCTTTGTTAACTGTGCCAAGATGTGGCTGAAACAATTTAATTTAGAAGTGGGACCTGGAACCGAGGGTCTGTTTCCACACTTATTACAGCGCCGCGGCCACGATGCAGCCTCGCTGCCCCGCTCCCCCCCTGCACCTTTGCTCACGGGCACATCAGGCCTCCCACCAGCGATTGATCCGTGATTGACTGACTGATCCACTTGGCGGATCAATTTGTGGTAGCACCTGAGTTCCCGAAGCTGCATGAGTGACAAAGGCTTGGGGGGCAAGACAACCTTCTATTATATCCGTTGGTTAACACACCCCTTCCTCCTCTCCCCACCAACCTCCTCCTCCCTCCGCAATGCCTCATACCTACTGGCAATCTTCCAGGGTTTGTGTTCCAGAATTAATTAATAAAATAAGCATGCTAATGAATAATCTATGTTAAGCATTTTCTTACCCTTTATTTTTTCATTATGATCAGAAGAGGAATATGATTAACAGCAGTTTGAACTTTAGCAGTACAATTTCAGTATTAAATATAAAACTACACTGCAAGTTGATGTATTTTAAAAATGGTTATGTATATTCTAGCCTTAAGTTTATGTATCAAATACAAGTAACTCAATTGTTTCTTGCCTTGACAGTTAACATATCTAACAAGTTTCAGCAAGCCAGACATCCATCTTTTCCATTTAAATAAAAAAAAAAACAAGCAAGCACACCAACTCTATTTCATAGCAAAGGGGTGTAAAGATTCAACACTTTCCTGAGTGTTGTGCAAAGAAAAACGTTTAAGAAAGTAGGTTAAGCCAGTGTAATGATAAACCTAAAGCTAAGCTGGAGGACCTTTTGATTAACTTCATATTTCATATGCTACTTGCATCAGTTGAGAGCAACATGAGTTACAGAACTTCCATGAAAACAAGCCACTTACAAGCAGGTGGTTAAGCTTGATCAGTTTATTAGAAGGATTATATGACACGGTTGCCTGCAATAGCAGGGGACTGGATTTGGTGACCCAGGAAGTTCTTTCCAGTCCCATGTTTCTAAGCCATGCACCGAGTGTACCCAGCCCACACTTTCACATTTGGAAAAAGCCAAAGCCACACACACACGCTCACGGAAAGAAAAGAAAATAAAAATCCTGGGTGACATTTTATTTCTCTAGATATTCACTATGCAGAAGGGAACAGAGCTAAAATCCTGTACAGAGGATACATTTACTCAAGGTTGATGTGGTACTGAAGTCAGTTAATAATTAGATACCTCCAGGCAGATTCAGTTACAGGGCATACTAACACTGCACACTGCCAGACAATTTCTAATCAAGCCAAGAACCTCTTGCAGGAATGAGGTCTCTTTGCTAGCAAGCACAGAGCACACTGGATAAGCTAAAAGCAGCTGTTCTTAAATGAACTACCCTACCAACCGTGAGTGAATGACAGATAGATGGTAAGAAGCATTTACCTACTAGACAAGATCTCTCTGCACACTCAGGCAGAAGAAGTAATTAGTTCAGAGCAGCAACCATTGCTCCTACCTTGCCCGTCTCTTGAGTACATTCGCTTTAAAAGCTGGTCTACAGAATTAATACAGCAATTCTCCAACGCTACCCAAGTAGCCACTTGTGGCTGCCACACAAGATCTTCCCTGCAAAGAGCAGTCAGGCCTTCCCATCGCAGCAGCGAGTTTGTTACGACAGCACCTACAGCCATAGCAAAAGCCTGTACAAGAGAGCTAAACAGTCATCTGGATTCAACCCATCTAACTCTTAGGCACTTGGTTAAGGTGTCTGGGCAGAGAGTCACCCAGAACACTCCATGGTCACTCCCGGCAGGCAGAATTGCCTCCTGGAGGTGTCTTTTTCTACCGGCTGCACGTCAAACAAGGAGGTTCTCAACACAGGCACCTCAGTTAGACAGGGTGAACGGAGACTTGCATCTCTTCCAAGAGCTACTTCCAACACTCTCCAACTCCAAAGGCATAGCAATTACGGTTTGCAACTCCAGTTACGTTTGGAAACAAACTTACAATCAAGTAATTAAGCTGTAGTCCCTCCCTCCCAAGCATAAAAGCCTTCCAAAGGGAAGTGCTGTAATTTAAAAAAAATAAAAATAAAAATAAAAAAGAGGGAAAAGGAAAAGAGCATTCTTCTTCCAAACAAACAAGGGCAAACATGGCTGCTTTGCCACTCATTCACGGGGAAGCTGAAGGACTGATCAGAGAACACTTTACTCAGAGACCTGGAATGACTAAGCACTGCTAGTGCATGCAAAGCAGAGGAACGAGATGTTCCTTAAATTAACCCTAGTCCTCATCTCCACCCCACAAAATTCATGCAAGTGTTTGATAAGTTAGTCAAGAACAATAGCCCAAGATGCCAGGAAGGCTTAATTTTACACATTGTAAAAGAAATGTCCTGTTGTTTTCTTTCTGTGGGTAGAGAAATGCATTTTTGGCATGTTTGAGAATCATACAGATCTATAAAGTCCATGCTGTTTAAATTCTCCAACTGGTTTCTAGAATCTATCCATAAAAAAAATATCCAAAATCAACCTATACATGTTTCCCTAGTATTAACATGCATGCTGAGAGCTCTCCACTTTAGTGAAATGAGGTGTTACTTCTATGCTGATAGTTGACGAGTCAGCATTACACGACTTTGAGACCAACTAAATTAACATTGTCGTAATATGAAAGGCAAGCACAAGTTCATTTATTTATAGCAAAGGTCTTGGGTTACAGGAGGTCAGTTCTTGCCATCTTGAAAAGATAGGGGATAACTTATTGCATACATGTGCATTATAATTTAGCAGCAAGTCATTCATAGGAACACTTCCCTCCTACTGCTTTTTTGGTTTATTATCTCAATTCTATATATAATTTCAGCTTTACAAAGCATTTAACACCACCTTTAAGTTAATGGTCTTTTATTGGAAAAAAAGACTAGCATTTACAACTTGGAATGGACATAAATTGTAATATCTTGAACAGCGATGTTGATAGTTGTGCTGAAGTCCACAGGCTACTCCGCCAGCTCCAAGTCATGGTACAGAAGGTTTTAAAAATATGAGAGTCCAAAGATGCTCCCTTGGTGAAGGTTTCTTTTAAAAATTTTGTGAACGGTAACAGCCCGACACCCGTTTCACTATAGTGCAATGCAGACAATGTTAAACCAATATTATAACACAGACATGCCATCCATAGTTAAGATCATCATATTTTTGGAGCACACTGCTACGTACAGGAGAACCATTCGACCTTTAGGGCATTTTCTCTAAGTTTTGAATCCTTCAACCACTTTTGCTGCATACCATCCTGAGGTATAAACCAATTTTAGAGTAAACCAGCTATGACAATTTATACTACAAATTGAACTAGAATCCACTGTTGAAGAAAAGAGTGGATTTTAGGTTGGTTTTTTTTTCCTTTTAATACAAATGTCTGACTGTGCTCAATTGTCAAGCTGCATGCATGAAAAACTGGCCAGCCCAAACAGTGTAATAGTCATTAGCAAATGGAACTTTTGAGTTCACTAAGTGCTTCCTTTTTTTTATTTTTTTTTTTTATTTTCAAGGTAGTACAATTATTTATATTGTAAAACTGATGTTTAACTTGATCTTTTGGGGACAGGACCACCAACCATTACATGCAGTTTGTGGACAGAAGGTATTTTGACATTCAGTTTTGCTATACAGAAACAGAATGAATAAATGAACATTTTTTTTTGCAAGAGGTAAGTAAAAGATTCAATTTGATTCTTCTAGAGGAAAAAAGGTGTAAAGGAGGTCTCTTCACTTTGCAGTCATCATCTGTACGAATTCTGAAAAGATAAAAAGTCACTATGAGCTGTTGGTTACGTCTCAACCACAAGTGGTGCAAAAGCTTTCACTGAATCAAGGAGCTTGCTTTTGCCCACAGAAACAGGGAACTGAATAAATTATCCCAGAGATACTGTCTAAGCTTAAAGCCAACAGACCTTCACTCAAAGTCTTTGTGACTGTTTCAAGTCAAGGTGAGCATCTTACCTTCATAGTTGACTTGCCCATCACCATCAATGTCTGCTTCTCTGATCATTTCATCTACTTCTTCATCTGTTAGCTTTTCTCCTAAGTTTGTCATAACGTGACGTAGCTCTGCCGCACTGATATAACCATTGCCATCCTGTGAGCAGAAAAGTTGCACGAGACCAAGGTCAACAATCCTGAGATTAACTCAAACTAAAACCAACTTTTCACAGACTGCTTTTGCAGCACTCTTATGAAACTTGGGCATCTGGTGAACTGTAGCCTATGTATCTATGTATTGTGTTGCCAGCAGGTCAAGGGAAGGGATCCTGCCCCTCTACTCAGCTCTAGTGAGGCCACACCTGGAGCACTGGGGGCAGTTCTGGGCTTCTCAGTATAAGAGGGACGTGGAAGTTCTAGAGAGGGTCCAGTGGAGGACAACAAAGATTATGAAGGGACTGCAGCCTCTCTTGTATGAGAAAAGAGTAAGTTAGCTGGGCCTTTTTAGTTTAGAAAAGACCGAGATCTAATCAGATCTGTAAGTACTTGAGGGGAGAATGTAGGGAGAAAAGGGCCAAACTCTTCTCAGTGGTAGCCAGCAGTGGCGGCCTATGGACCCACCCATAGGACAAAGGGTAATGGGTGCAAGTGGAAACACAGGAAGTTTCACCTGCCTGTGAGGAGAAACTACCTCACCATGCAGGTGACAGAGCCCTGGAACAGGCTGCCCAGGGAGGTCGTGGGAGTCTCCCTCTCTGGAGATCTTCCAAACCCACCTCAATGCCACCCTGTGCCCTGGGTGTCCCTGTTGGAGCAGGTGGGTTGGACTAAATGATTTCTAGAGGTCCCTTCCATTTTAGCCATTCTATGATCTCTAGGGGTCCCTTCCAACCTCAACAAGCCTGTGATTCCATGATCCCTCCACTAAACAAGTCACACTATCTTTTTGAAAAGATCTGCATTACGTAAGACACTGCTTCAGTAACAGGAGTGCGGATAGCTGGGCTTCCTTACTGATCTTCTACAAGAAGTCATGCACTTGGGGTCTGAGGGAGAAGTAAATTCTACTTAAATGTAGTTCTGAAAAGCTTAGAAATGTCATTCCTTTTTTGCCAGTATGTCAATGTTCTGTTAGTTCCATTAGTAAAATCCAAACTTAGGGCACAGCCATTGACATTTCTGAAGTTGTCCTCTTCTGTGAGCACAGAGAATCAGAGTTTAGTTTAGGGCAGTAGTTTAGAGCAGGAGTTCTGACCATCACAAGTCAGTAAGTGGCCTCAATGAAATTAAGCACAAAAAAATGCAGAGGTTTACCCAGAAGGAAAATGAAGTACCATGCAGTAAAATATTTTCTTCTAGTACATATCCCTGCAAAGGGCCAGAGGCTGGCACTTTTACATAGAAAAATCGGAAAAAAGTGAGACCTTGTACACATGTGCATACATCAGCTTAGCAGCTGCATCAGTCATTGCACAAAATAATTCTCTCGTTACAATTGTAGAATCCAAGCAATCCAAGGTGGAAAAATCCCTGTTCTGCTAAGTTATCTTTAGAACAGCCTCTTCATGATGTATGCTCAGGTGTCCTTAATAAACACGGAAGGAGTGGAGCTCTTAGGTTCCTGCCGTAACCTCAAAATCCTCATCTTGGAGAGACAACATGTGATGTTTTGTTTCCTGCAAACACTGATGACATGACTTCAACTTCAAGTCTTCAAAAAGCACAAAACACGCTGCATCCATGCAACCATCCTCTGTCCCCTGAAGTCAGAAGGTTAGAAGGGAACATAGCAAAGATACCACCACAACAAAACAACCCACCATCAGAAGTTCTACTGGTATCCACTCCTAAGGAAAGGCCAAAAATCTTTCTCCATGGAAATGCCTTAAGCTTAGTCCTGCTATATAAGTGGGTACAACCAGGCTGCTCTGCAACAAGGCCTCTATCCCCCTGCTTCTAACAAGGGAGATTTCCTTTTGAACAAGGAGAGAAAAGCACTGAGGGAAAGATGCTTTACTGCTTCTGAAGAATGCTTGCCATTTTAGGAATACCTTGTCAAAGACTCGGAATGCCTCACGGATTTCTTCCTCGCTGTCTGTGTCCTTCATTTTTCTGGCCATCATGGTTAAGAATTCAGGAAAGTCAATAGTGCCATTGCCTTAATGAAAAGAAATTTAAATATTAAATTCTCATACTTTTCCCTACAATGAAAAAAATGTGGCTTTTAATGGGACAAGAATCAGACTGACAGATTCTCTGTAAGCTGTTCTTATGTAAGAACTTGATCTTCCCCCTAAATTGCTATCCTTGCCTTTTTGTTTTTACAATGCATTAATAGCTGCTGTCACTGCAGTGTTTTGGTGCCAGAGAACTGGCTGTTGCTTTCTCTCCAGGTCAAACCACCCCATTCACCATCTCAGCTGCACAAAGCCACCTGTGTTAAAAGCGTAGCAGAGGCAGACAAGATATCTTTGCATTGCATCACTGTCCAAAACTAGCTGTCAAAAAAAAAATCTGAACTGCTGCAGATATCCCAGAGATCTGGAATAACTCAGAAAATGCCTATGTTATCTAAAAGTTGGAAAAAAGATACAGCTGCAGTAAAGAGCTCAAACACTTGATGTTTCCTTAAAAAACACAATGAACAAAACTGTCAAACACTTGCTTTTCATTAAAAAAACCTATCAAAGTATGTGTGCTGCATATCACAGAAAATACACAATTCTGAAAGGTAACAAGTATCTGTAAATTCAACTGAATCAAGAAAAGCTACTATTAATATTTCTGGGAAAACAAAACAAAAAGAGAGACAAAAAAAGGCAACTTAGCATTGTTGTGGATTCCTATTTCCCCAGAAGACTCAAAATCCCCAGCAACGCCCAGAACTCATCCCTAAGACTTACAAGAACTCATAGTAAGGATTCAACTTTGAGGTTGTAAGAAGCTGTGAGAAAGATGGTAAGGTAAAGCAACTGAGGTTGTTAGAAATGGTGGAAACTACATTAATAAGTCTAATACAGCTGTGTATTCCAAGCCAATGCCTTAAGACAACCTCTGTACAACTAACCAAAAGATGTCCCCCCTTTTTTTTTGTGGGGAGTGGGAGGTGTGGAGAGGATATTTTAGGGCTCTGGCAGTTTAGGGATTGCTCATTTGAATGAGACATCCACAGCTATTTATGCTCAAGGCCAACCTTATTTACTAGCTTAATTTGAACACAAGTCTTGTACTCAGTTTTAAAGAGAAATAACAATGAATATGTAGAGTAACAGCAAAGTATTCTACCATAAGAACAGGACAGGGCATACTTGTGGATACTGAAATGGAGCCTAAAAACGTCACTGTACACAAACTCTATACAGCACTTCAAACCCTGAGTATCAGAAAGCACCTTGGTACCACAACCCAACAGCTGTATGTCAACTACTATTAGGGTCAATTTAGACTTTAAAGAAAATAATTCTTGCTTAGTGTAATCTGCAACGATCAAACAATCCATACCCTTGCCAATATATTTTATTCACTTTTCCCCCCCACACAGAGAAACTATAAAAACTTCATTATCACAACAGCCAATGTTCAAGATTAAGTCTCTGACACTACTGAGCAGGAGAGGCATTTGGTTTTTGTTAACTGCTAGCCTGACTAAAGCCCCAAATAAAGCTTGCAGTTACCTTTTCCGGCATCCATTTAAAACTATTCTAATCAACTTTGATATTTGAGCCTTTCCCTGTTTTTGCAATCTTAACAGTCTAACACTCCTCCATATCTATTAATAATCCAATATATATTAAATGCAACAGGAAGGACGTTTGCATTTTCAGCTTTTCCTAGAGTAAAATTTTAATGTTAGTCCATCCTCACCACGTTTTTGACCTTACACATAAAACTATAGACATTAGTTCTGGTATTAAGACTAGGTTGACTAATGAAATATACAGACTAAAGCTGTGTGGAATATGGGTTAACTGCAGGTCAGGGCAAGCCAGGTAACAAAAGGAAGCTTGTGACTCATAAGAATATTAAAACCTGGAAAAAAAGACCTTTTCAAGTATTAGTTTGCTTCTGTCAATCCTCCATTTTAGATTGTAAAACTACCAACATCTTTCTGTTCTGCACAGACAGAAAGCAGAACACCAACACTGTTTTATATATATGTATCTTATATTGTTTATATTCACGCTTTTGTAAAGCACTGCTTCAAGTGGAGAGCACAATATCACAATCTTCGCACAGCCCAGGCGTGGAGAAACTGCACTCTAGATGGTCACAGCACTAAGAACCATCTTTCCAACACTTACCATCAGCATCTACCTCGTTGATCATATCCTGCAATTCTGCTTCTGTTGGATTTTGACCCAGTGACCTCATGACAGTTCCAAGTTCTTTTGTTGTAATAGTACCATCACCATCTTTGTCAAATAGGGAAAAGGCTTCCTTGAACTCTAGAGGCAGAAACAGTCCCATGGTTTAATAATGTCACCATGATTAAAAAAGCAGCATATAAAGAAATGTATCCCCACGACTACACCTTGTATAACTAACAAGAATCTTTTAACTTGTCCATGTACCGACAGAATTTGATTCATTTCTGAAAATGCTACACCACCAGTCTGTAACTATATATACACTAAATTCTAATATACTGTATTACTGCACGTGCATTATATCTGCACAAAGCATTTCAGCATCTTGCTGCTTGACTCAGTTGCACCATAAGCAGCAGTTATTTGAAGGGAGTGAGAGGAGCCCGGCATTCTAAATAGCTTGTGGGCAGCTCACCATAAACAGTTACAGAAACAACAAAAATAAGTGATAAATGACAACACTTAAGTCACTAGACAGCAGGAATTGGCACTGGTCCCAAGTGGGTGACTGGTCTCCAGAAGCTCAGATAATATTCTTTCTCTCAACCAGTTTGAGTCACTTCTCAGTAACTTCTAACTTATTACCATTAATAGAGGTCAAATCTAGGATTGTGTGTTGCCATTTCACTTCAAGTTTATCACTACTTGCTCAAAAATGTCCCTAGGTCTGCTATGACCACAAGAAGCTCACTCAGGAGACTGGCAATTTCTATTTTGGTTTAAATTCAGAGGAATTTGGTTTAGATCTGAAAAAAAAAAATCTAGAAAAATTCAGTCCAAGAAAAAAAGCAGCCTAAACTTAGAAAAGAAATCAATAATCTTCTGGAACCTTAAATGCAAGAATTTATCTGAAGTTATTGGTAAATTCGTCTTGTTATGTTTGAGATAAGTATTTTCTTTTAGTCACAAGGAACTGCCAACAGAAAATATTTCTCATCATTAAGATACTTACCAGCAATCTGTTCTTCAGTCAGCTGATCAGCCTACATGAAGAATAGAACATTTTAGAACATTGTTTACCTCTGGCTATGCCAAACCATGAGACACCTGACTTCCTTTACAATTTCAGCACTAATGCATTATTACACTTACAAAGCAGCTTTTAACCCCTCAAATTCTACCTCTGAAAGACAAAATTCCACTAACCCAAACAAAGCCGTGTTTCTAGAAGCAAATGAACTAGCTTTTTCTCCCCTGAAACTGCACATTAAGAGAGCAGCACCCGGCTTCATCCGGATGGCCCAAGCTGGTGCGGCAGAGGGCACGTGGCAAACGCCTCGTCACTGCTCAGGGAGGCATGAAATCCTTCATGACGCGTTTAGGAGGCTCACATCACATCAGATGTCATTCCCAGAAGGATATTGACCCCAATACAGCGGAGGGGCATTTACGCATTGTTGGACTAGTGCCACCTAGTGACCCAACGGCACCGACTTGTCCGCGTTCCCCTCCAGCCCCCCCAACATCCTCACCAAATTATCACCCCACAGCACAGGAAATGGGGAGGATGGAGGCACAGCAGCAGCACAAGGAATTACTGCTCAGTATTATAGGGACTTCGGCCATATCGGAGAAGAGCACTGTCATCTACCATCAACTTGTTTTGTCATTTAAAAACCCTAGCGTTTGACAATGCTGCCTTTCCCCATACGTAGGCTGTTTTATAACCCATTTTAAGCGGCAGAATTAAAAACGCTTGCCTGTGACCTTCCAAATTAAGAGGCCACTGCTGCATCCAAAGATTTACACATGGGGGGCAATTAAGCAGGCTTATCCGGACACCGGCCATCATATTCCGCAGGTCTTTTCTTTAAGGGCACCACAACAGTTGTTATATGGACTTAAAAGCACTAAACACCTTCAATATAAGAAGACACTCATTTCCTAATAATGTAGGAAAAAAATCACATTCCACATACATATTCACAGATGCCAAAAAACACAACATAATAGTTCTTTTTCATGTCACTTTATAGGACAAATACCAAAATAATTTTATAGGTCAGAACACAGGCCCTCGTATCCCCTCTTTTGTCCTAAAACCGAGCACAAAGCCCACCTGGCTACGCTGAATAGCAACGAATACAATGGGGGAATTAACAGGCTACATGATCTGCCGGGGTCTGGTGCAGGGGAGCAGGGGAGCACCGAAAGGTCGGTGCAGGTATTAGATGACACACACGGCGCCTCTATCTGGAGGTTTTTAAAATGTCCGTTTAATCGCTATGCGTAATGATTAAACAACCCCCACAACCTCGCAGCGATTACTGGGGAAAGGCAGCAAAGATGCGGCCGGGATTTCTCTGCTCTTGTTAACGAGCTGCAGAAACTCGGCTCCGAAGCCGACCGGGGGTCTCTGCGTGTCCGCCTGCCCGGGGCGGGCGCCTCCCCGCGGGGCGGCCCGGGCCGCCGCAAGGGCCGCGGGCGGCCCCGCGCCGCAGCGCTCCCCCTCGCGCCGTCCCCCGCGGCCGCCCACTGCTGCAGTGCGGCCGCGCTCCCCTCCTCCCGCGCGGCGCCGCGGCCGCGGCGCGGCCCGTCCTCCTCCTCCTCCTGGAGGGAAGGAGGGCGGCAGCGCCGCTCGGGAAGGGGCGGCTCTTCCCCCGCAGCCTCCCGCTCCCAGCGGCATCCGGAGGCGGCCCGCGGGGAGGAAGCGGCTCCCGCGGCGGCTCCGCCGGCGCCCGCCGCACCACCCCCCCCGCCCCGCCGCGCTCCCGCCGCGGCCCCGGCGAAGCTTCGAGCGCGGAGGAAGAGGAGGGGACATGATGTA